CTCTCCCCCATCCCACTGTGGGGGAGTGAGCGAGTGGCTTTGTGGTGCTTAGTTGCCAGCTGGGGTTAAACCAGGACTCTGTCTGTATGTATTTTGAACCAGATTTTCCTGCTCCCCATCCTTGCCTGAGACACCTCTGGTGGGCTTCCTTGCTGGCTAAGGGCCAAGGCCCACCCTGGTCCTACAGTTTTCTGTCTGCTCTCCATGCACAGACCTGCCTGCTGGTGCTTCTGCATTAGTTCGCAGGGCTCGGGAGCGGCATGCTTCGTCAGCAGAAGAGGGGTACTCGCTGGGGTTGGGGTCAGCCCAAAGCACAGTAAACACATTGAGGAGCATGAGAGGAACTGTAAATGATTCTCTACTTGCATCAGTTCTAGTTGTGCAAGCGGCTGCTAGACATACTTCCCCCTGAAAACGCTGGCATCAGCGGTATTACCATGTGGTTAAAGAGAGTTACATTTTAAGGAGATTGATGGGATTTGTGGTGAGGCTACAGCCCACCGTGGCAGAGAGAGCCAAGACCCCCATGCTAGCACTGGCCTGGACAGGGAGTCCTGAGCTGTAGTGCCATGTTTTTCCTGTCTGTCCGTCTGTGAAAGTATTTTTAATAAGGGATGATTTTTTAGCCTGAGCACAGCAATGGACAGTCCGGGCTTTCTGGACCTGACTTGGCACACAGGGTCCAGAGTTAGCACAAGTGGGGCCAGCTCAGGTATCTCCGATGTAACGTACAGGTCTAAGTCCTTAGACTTACCTCCTGCATTCACAGTGTCGGGCCATTGAGATGCTGTCCTCTGGATGACGGGTCAGCTGTTGTCTCTGGTAGTCAGCAAGACAGAGGTCAGCGTCTCTTTCAAATAAGACAAGGTGTACCCAATATTTTCAGAAATATTCCTACTCCCATTACAAGCCAAATCTTGTAGCATTACTCAGATGAAAAATCACATTTTGATTCCTGGCTATGAACTAAGTAAGGAGCACAAGACCTACCCATCTTAGAGGGAATGTTGCCACCATGATACCCCAGGGATTTCCTTTCCTCTTTTCCAATGCCCAGGGCTGTAGCTGAGCCATTACTGAGTGACTGATGGGTGTCAGCCTCGGTTCACTTCACTGCACCACAAGTGTCTACGGATTGTGTAGAGAGATCTCAAATGCCCTGGGCGCAGCAGAAACTATAAAAAGGCATTTGTGGGCTTTCTGCCCACAGGGATCACATGGAAACTTATATTTGTTACCTTGCTTTTGGAAACTAGTGCTGATATTGAGACATTTTCTTCTTCTATGAAAGCATTTTTCACAGTGTTTAGATTCTTGCATGAAATCATCATCCATTTGGAGGAGCAGTCTGATCAATTTTGAAGGTAATCCTTCACTGATGGGAACGAGAAGGCTCCATAACATTTGCTCTGCAAGGCTCGCAGCAGCATTTATCGCTTATTCTGGGCCAGGATTTTGTAGGCAGCCAATATCAGGGTTCTTAATTTAACCACATCAGCATGTCTTAAACCTGTCTTAAGCTGTAGCTGTTCTGAAATCCTTTGCTGTTGATAAATTCATTCTGCTGTCCATGAGCAATGTTAGCAGCTTTCTCCATGACATTCACATTGAGTTCTAATCAGATTATAAAAGTAAAACATCACATACAATATGTGAAAACAGCTCTTTCCAGGCAATTTGGAAATGCTCTGCCAAGTACTTTGTGGCTGTTCTGGTAAACACATAAAAATCATTCATCCAAGAACTTTCAGTAAACTGCCACTGAAAAAAGGAGAGAAGCACTTTCCTCTGCATTGCTTTTGGTGCTAAAACGCAGGAAGCCAGCAGCAGGTCCATGCTCCAGCTTGGCCCCTGTTATATGAGCACTCGGGTGCGGGGCCAGGGCAAGTTCCCATTCACCAAGGAGCACAAACGTAGACTTTTGTGAAGCTCTGGGTACAAGAGAAGGTAAAATCCGCCTGTGTATGTCCCTGCCATGTTTGGGTCAGTATGTTCCAGTGGTTTCTGACTGACGACGTTGTAAGTACAGACCTGGGCACAGAGTGATGTGAAGAGACCTGTGATACAGAACAGCCAAATGCCAAATTCTCCACCCAGTTTTGTGAGGCAGGCCTGTGTACATAAGCAGGGCTGTGTGTAACCGTGGTATTAACATATATAGAACAGATGATATGATTTTGGCTGTCTGGTCTAATTCCTTGCCAAGTTTCCAGTAGTTTAATCATGATCTAATTTGAAATAATTAAATCAGTTGTGTTTTTTTAGAACTGCTTTTTCATCTCTAGGGCTATGAATACCATCACTGCAATCATAGCTAGGATCATTTTATAATAACCTATAACTTTAAATGATCAAATTTACAAAATCCTCTGTAAACAAAAATCACCAAAGCTGGTTACTAGCTGGTGATCCTGAACTCTATCCCAACAGTTGGGCCATAAGGTGATGTGGAAACCATGGGTCTAAACTTGTGAGCTTTTATAGAGTTGGCGTGTAAAGTTTAAATCCAGACCTGTATCTAGAATTCATTTTTTTAAATCCATGTTACATCTTCCATCAGATTCCTGGCTGAGGAAGCTTCTTGACCTGAAAGTGTTGAAAATCTAGATCTGATTTTCTACCATGACAGTTTAGTATCTTAAACCAATACACAAACTAAACACAGGCAATATGAGGGAAAAGTGTGGGTTGAGTGGAAATGTAGGGACATATGTTTTATATTTGGTTTGGTTTGTTAGAAAACATTAGGTTCTTGACTTCTGCTCTATTCAAAAAATAAAGTAATTGCACATGATGGAAATCCAGACCTTATTCTGCATTTCTTGTACAAATTCCTTGTGAGTTTTAGCACAAATAATGAATAAAATGCAAGAATTGGACTACCCACTTTTCTTCAAATATCTTCAAGTCTAAACAACCATGACATAAATCTTTCTAATGAATGGACATGTGCAGATGTACAAGCTTAGGGCTTTCATTTTAAACTAAAGGAACTCTCTGGCTTCAGCTAGCGAAAGCCTGGGTTTTGTTCATCAGATTTTTCTCATATTCTTAAAATCATATTTGTATTCAGTTTCATTTGAATATGTTTTTGATTTGTCCAAACAGCAGATGGCTATCATAAAGAGTCTGTATTTAACTTGGCACTTTCCATTCCACATTCCTTTACTATTCATAGCACAGCAGTCATACTCATCTCCAGTACACATAAAAGGAGGCAGTTCGACTTGCAGCTGCAGATCTCCTCAAATGTTTGAGTATTTACAAACTCACTTACAGCATTTTTTTTTTTAACATTTGGAAGACCAGATACTAGATATAGTGGGTGGATTTTTTTTTCATCTCTACCATTTTCATACAATGAGAAATAAATTAAACTTGTGTCTGTAGTAAGGAACCCCTGCACTTAAAATTAGATTCATATAGAGTTCATATTCATTCGGGGAGAGTGGGACTATACATAGGCAGAAAAATTTGCTCTTGAAGACAAAGATCTCAGCCTAAACCATCAAGCAACATGAAGAATGGAATATTCATCTGATTGAACAACAAGACTACCTAAAATGCATAAGAATAAAGGCATCTGTGCTAGAGTAATGCCTTTTTATTCTTGGGGCTTCACAAGGAAGAATTTGATCCTTTTGAGTATTTGTAAGGAATATATTTTTTCTTCGGTTGCTAATAGATAGCAGAATATGTTAAACAAAACCAATTTTCTAAATGTCTTTGAATGTTTTCTTTCAAATTAATTTGTCTTTGGCAGAAAGTATCATTTCTACTTACTGTGTTTTCAAGCAAATACAGTCAGTGATTATTCTTTTTTCTTATAGTTTCAAACATGCAACACACTTCTAAAAAGTGAACACTTCTGCAACATGCAACACACTTCTAAGTAGTTTTTTTTTTTCCTTGATAGTATCCTTCAGTTTGCGTGCTTTTCCAGAGCCTAAGGAAGAAGAATTTAATCTCAAAAATTAGAAAACAGATTTTTTGGTGCATAAATTAAATTTCCATAAGACTCACAACCTATCTATTGCTTTTTTAATGGTTATGACTATGTATGACAAATGCTCATTCCTTAGAAATACAACTCCTCCTACTGAACTCGTAAATGTGCTTTATTTTCAATGTTATCTAATAGATTTTTTTTTTCTCTCTCTGTGACTACCCTAAATTTTTTACTGTTCAAAAAGCCTGGCTTTCCAACACATATGTAGCTGGAGGCAAGCGGTCTAACATTTCACATCAAACAATAAACTCAGCATACTGAAAAATATATACAAAGATTTTCCTTTACTGTAATATAAATACAGCCACATGCTTACTACACTCTACAGCGTTGCTTGAATGATATTATTTTGTCATATTAAGAATGATTTTATCTCACCAATAAACTATGGACAAGGTTCTAATTCTTTCCCACTGAGTTCTTCATTTCAACAACCAAAATGCCATCATGGCAGAAAAGCGCAGACAGGTCTTTGTTCTCCACTCCATTAGGTAATTTGTATTGTCTGGTAAAGCTTCTGGACACAAAACCGTGTTCGTCCATCCTGGGTCCGTGCTGAGCTTTGATCAGGAGCCAGCCTTCGAAAGTTTGAATAATGATATCTTCGGGGCGGAACTGCACAACGTCCAGCAAGACCTGAAAGGGTGTGTTTTCCTCCTCCTGGCCGCTCTTCACGGTCCCGGCTGTACTTTCTGCAGTACACCTTCTGCTGCTTAGTGCAGCTGTAGAAGGGCCCGGCAAAGCGAATAAAGAGTGGTCCAGTTTGTGTGCTTCCAGATCCTGGACAGCAAACTGCTCTTGATACCGTATGGGAGTTTCCACCCAGTGTCTTACAACAGCTTCTGCCATTGCTGAGGCAGTAAGATAAGTTGCTGCTCCCGTGTCGCTTTGGGGAAGCTGCAGAGTCAAAGCAAACTCTTCCCGGTCGTATGCCTCACCCGTAGACTGGTTTATCGGTTGATGTCGCCTTTCACTTTTAGCACAGGCAGAGCTTAACATTTAATAGGGCGTGTTGTGCTCCAGTGCCAGGAGAGTTGTTTCATCTTTTATCCACTGACAATAGAGCACTATTTATAGTGCTGGGGTCTTGAGTGGCTTCAACACATGCACAGCTTTCATGCATAAGTAGTACAAGCAAAATTTTAATGCATCTCTGATTATTGCAGTATTGTGCTGTTTGTCATTATGAATAATGAGCACGCAAATTACGTGAATGATTCTTTGATTTAAATGGAAGTTTAGTGATTCTGTTTTTCCAAGGGATACATGGCAATAGATACAAACTCTGTATTTCTTCTAAATACAAAGTTACTGAGGGAAGGGATTTAATTAGCTTGACAGTAGGAACGGAGCAGCTTTCAGGTTAGGTAAACTATAAAATTATCAAGTGCATTGGACATTGTTGCAGAAGTTGTGCGTAGGTGAAATACGGGCATGGTTAACCATGTTATTGGCAGGAGGAGGGAACCGTAACCATCCCTGCCCAAAGAGGGGGTGCCTGAAGGGCTGAGTCTGCAATCTTAGTGACCTACAAACACAGCAGAGCCTTCTCCAGCGTGTCAGGGAGTCAGACTCAGGAGTGCAGGGAGAATTACAGTGAAAGCTCATGTTTCACAGCTTCCAGGAGAGGGCAGCGTTATTTTTGCCCAGCAGAATAGTAAAGACTACTCCAAATCATAGAATCACAGAATCATAGAATCATTAAGGTTGGAAAAGACCTCTGAGATCATCAAGTCCAACCGTTAACCCAACACCACCATGCCCACTAAACCATGTCCCTAAGCGCCTCATCTACACGTCTTTTAAATACTTCCAGGGATGGTGACTCCCCCACTTCCCTGGGCAGCCTGTTCCAAGGCCTGACCACTCTTTCAGTAAAGAAGTTTTTCCTAATGTCCAGTCTAAACCTCCCTTGGCGCAACTTGAGGCCATTTCCTCTCGTCCTCTCGCTTGTTACTTGGGAGAAGAGACCAACCCCCACCTCGCTACAACCTCCTTTCAGGTAGTTGTAGAGCGCGATGAGGTCTCCCCTCAGCCTCCTCTTCTCCAGGCTAAACAGCCCCAGTTCCCTCAGCCGCTCCTCATAAGACTTGTTCTCTAGACCCTTCACCAGCTTCGTTGCCCTTCTCTGGACACGCTCCAGCACCTCAATGTCCTTCTTGTAGTGTGGGGCCCAAAACAGTATTCGAGGTGCGGCCTCACCAGGGCCGAGTACAGGGGCACGATCACCTCCCTACTCCTTAGTGCTATCACATTGTCCCAGTAACCTTCATCTTCTGTAACAGTCTGGGGCTTAACAGCTTGAATCTATGATCCCATCTATCGCATCTGTCTGGGCAGCAGGACTGATGATCTCAAAGGCTCTCTGTGGTGTAATCTTCTTGCTACTCTGTGACCTCAGGGCAAATAATGCCTACAAGTGTTGGTGGCTTAGTTAACAAGACTTAAGAGGAGGGTGCAGTGAAAAGGGAAAAGCATTTCCAAATTTTAGTATGTTTGGCAGAAAAATCCCTCTAGCTGGGCTTGGTAATGTAAAGCAGAATGCATTACAGCAACTGATGGTGAAAACTGTTTATTTCCCTCAGTTGCACTAATGCTAGAAATAATCAGACGAGATACTTTTACTCCTTCTTGTTTGGCTGTTGTTGTCCAGAGCTCTGTCTCTCTCTTGTCCTTACATCTTCCATTACCATGAAAATGGCAAGTCAGTTTATACGGGATCTTTGGTTGCTAATGAACTTATGAAGAAAGAGGCAGTTGAATTTCAACAGCTATCAGAAATGAACTTCTGTATTGAGTCAATAGCAGGGCAGGATTACCAGACATACCTATAATTAAAGTTCTAAGGTTGCTATTTTATTTTAGACTCATGAAGGCTGCATCACAAGGTGAGGAAATTTTCAAAGGTAGATTAAAAGTTCAAGATAACTTACAGTAATGGCCAACCATTTAATTGAGTATTGTGGGAAAGGAGAGTTATGCTACTTTATTTAACTATCGTCTCTTCTCCTGTCAAATTGTCCTCCAGAAATCATTTAAAAATGCAATTCTTAGTGTATGGCTTGCTAAAATAGTGATAAAAATAACCTGGAGCATTGCCCATTATCTGTTCAGCAGCTGTTTTCTGTTTTGCTAGCCAATGATTCACTCAATGAGGAAACTTTAACCCTAAAGTGAAGCGGTATGCCTGGTTGGTTGTGATATTATGTTTTTAGAGATTGCTGAAAGTTATTGCTGCCCCTAGTGAATCCTGTGATGATAGCCTGACTGATTTTACTTCAATTTTGCACTTCCTTAGTAAATGTACTGTGCAGGAATACCGCAATCTTTTAATTTTTATTTTATTTTAATTATTCCCATCTTCTCTGGAAAAAGGTAAACTTGCCTATACTTACACTTTAAGTGAAAACAGAAACCCACCACCTCAGTGCAGCTCACTGTGGGACAGGTATATCTATTCCCAGAAACAGTTGCGTTAGTCTTTCAAATGTCTGTGTTAAACATGCTTAGAACTGTCCGTCTGGCCTAATTAGCAAAAGGGATGCTTTGAATACCCTTTAAACTCGTGTCATGAGCAAAGCTCTACAATAGGATCCCTTTCTACTCTGTAGGACAGGGAATTGGAGAGATTTTGGTAATGAAGCCGCATAGCCTCTTTCTGCTCTCCCATCCTGCTCTCCCCGCGGTCCCAGTCCCCTCTTCTCTCTGTTTGCCACCTAAGGGCTCAGGAATTAGCTCCATCTTTCTTACGTCTCTGTTGCTAACGCAGAGAATATGTCAACTGGAAAAAGAAAACATCCTTGAAATGCAAACATCCCAGCAATTTAGAATGTATTTTTGGGCTTTCAAATTTAAATATGGATGCGGTGCTGCAACACTGAGGAACTTTTCATGCTCATGCTGCTATACTCTTCAAGTATCCATAGCATGCTTCAGTCGAGCTATGCGTTTTAATAACAATTGATTACTGAGGTCATTTTAAACCTTCAGAGCAGATCTGGCAGGAGCAGGATCGATGTCCTTAACTGCCAGCTCAGTGCCTCGGGTTTTCTTTCCCTGTTTTTCTGTGCTCGCGAAGGCCTCGCCTGGTGCTGCGCAGCGGGTGGGAAACCACCGACTGGCATGGGAAGCGTTGCAGAGCTGCTCTTTGCAAAACTGAAGTGAGGCCATTAGTTATCGTGGCCCTGCGCTTGCCAGCCCGTGCTCTCTTTCGCTGACCGCACGTATTTACCGTCTCAGTATCTTTTGCGGATTTTTAAAGGAAAGGAATGGGATCCATTGGCAACTTCAACAGTCGGCTGCGAGAAATGGGTATAAATGGGTCACACCGACATCTTGTGGTGAGAGGAGAAAATAGCTGCGAAAAGAAAATGACAAGCTGCCTGCTGCATGCTAATACCAGCTATCACTACCAGTCTGTGAAATACTTGTATGGAAAGACAAATCAAAGGAAGAAACCCGCAAGATTTTAACTTACAACAGGCTATTTTCAAGCTAATATAAGCTTCTTTCTCAGTATTTTGGGGGGGGAATATTTGATTCATGTTGAACACATGGAAAATATAGAAAGCAGGCATCCTGGTAAAGCTGTATTGTAAATTGCAAAAATGTAAGGTGCACAAACTCATGAAAATAAGACATTTTTGATGCTTATCTTACAGAAATACCGGTGCATCCTGCCTGATGCAACTTTAAAATAATAGATTGCCTTGTCACAATTCTCTGCATGCTTGATTCCCCAAAGAAAAGCATGTATTTCAACTACCATTGAAATTCAGTAACTGCTGAAAGGGGAAAAAAGCTAAAAGGCTGGCAGGATGAAGTGAACAAGAACTCTTCTAGCAAAAGCTAAATTCAAATGAGAGCCATGTAATTACCCAAATGGATTTAGGCAAAGCACTGCAATTACTTTTACCAAAGCACCCAAGGATGCCACTTGTGATCTACTTCACGTCATTCAAAAGTGATGCTGTCACTTCAGACTTGGCAATATGTAAGAAACGTAAGGAAGAGTAGGACTTGGTGGGTTTTACCTGTGCTGGCTCTGTTGTACCGAGTATGGGAGTTTAAGCTTTGCGGTGATACCGAAGAGCTAGATAGTAAAATAAAATGTATGTGAGAATGGAATGTGGGGTGACACTTATGGAAAATGGATGGTGAAGAGCTATTTTCCACATGGCATTTAATATATTTTTGTAGAGTGAGAAAACTATTGTCTCCTACTTGTGTCACTTTGAGTCCATTACTTCTTAGAGCTGTGAGTTGTCCTTTTAGCTGGATATGTTAAATATGTAAGCTCTGAAGGAATCAAAAATGTAATCACAATTACTGCAACGGTCTAATCAGCAGATACCAGGTGGTCTGTTTTCAAGAGATATTGAGGGATCCTTTTTTATTACTGTCTTGTTCCAACCACATGGCATTTATATTGGTCAGTGAATGACAACATAACTCTTTCTGCAGCAAGACTTCATGCTGTGTTATACACTTCTTGCAAGTTGTAGAGGCTGTGCTGTTACACAGCCAGCTTAACCGAAGGAAGGCTTCAGTCCGTGGGTCACGTCCTTCAAAACCCGGAAAAGGCTGGATCTGCCCAACCTCTTGGAAAATCTCTCCAGGGCACTGATGCTCACTTGTAACTGCAAACTTGATCTCCTAATTTTAGGGGGCTCTTAAGAAGTGGAAAACTAATCTCAGCTTTTGCACTGAGCATCAAGTGTTTGCTCATTTGTTAGGAAGCTATGTAAGAATATAAGTAAGCATGGAAAGGACTATCATTTTGACATGTTACGTCCACTATTACAAGACTTTTTATCATATGTTGAGATGATAGAATAATGAGGACGGGG